TGATTTTTTTATATTGCTCGTGTACTCTGCAATTTTGCTGAATGCGTTTTTTAGCTCTACTAAATTATGGAGTTTTCTTCTCTCTAAGTTGGAATTTTCCATAACATGTCATCTGTGAATCCATTTAGTTTGATCTCTTTCTTTCTAATATTGCTGAGCTTTATTTATTTTTGTTGACTAATTGTTTGGGCTAGACCCTCCAGCATGATATTGAACAGCAGTGTGAAATCCTTTTTGTATTCCACAGCTTAGTGGGAAAGCTGTCCTTTCACCATTCCGTTTGTATTAAATGTGGATTTTTTTAAAAAAATTTAGTTGTAGGTGCACACTGTACCTTTATTTAATTAATTTACTTATTTTTATGTGAAGCTGAGGATAAGACCCAGTGTTCACATGTACTAGGCAAGCACTCTATCACTGAGCCACAACCCCAGCCCCTAAATGTGGATTTTTAATACATGTCCTTTATCATGTAGAAAATGTTCCCTTCCATTTCTACTTTTTATATATTTTTAGTTGTCGATGGACACAATACATTTATTTATTTATTTGTTTGTTTGTTTATTTATTTATTTATTTAATACAGTGCTGAGAATCAAATCCAGTGCCTCACACTTGCTAGGCAAGCGTTCTGCCACTGAGCTAAAACCCCAACCCTTACTTTTCTAAGTGTGTTAGCATGAAAGGGTGTTGAATTATGTAAAATGATTTTTCTGCATATAATGAAGTGATCACATGCTTTTTTCAAACTCTTTTTAAAAAATATTTATTTCTTTAATTTTTAGGTGGATACAGTATCTTTATTTCACATTTATGTGGTGCTGAGAATTGAACCCAGTGCCTCACTCACGCTAGGCAAGCGCACTACCACTTGAGCCACATCCCCAGCCCATCAAACTCTTTCTTTTAAAGTGTTTATTTATTTTTTTAGTTATAGGTGGACACAATATCTTTATTTTATTTTTATGTGGGGCTGAGGATCGAACTCAGTGCCTCATGCATTCTAGGCGAGCACTCTTCCTCTGAGCCACAATCCCAGCCCCTCAAACTCTTTGGTTTTTTAAAAATAGTTTTTAGTTATAGATGGACACAAAACCTTTATTTTATTTATTTATATGTGGTATTAAGGATCGAACTCAGTGCTTCACACGTGCTAGGCAAGCACTCTGCCACTGAGCTGCAATCCCAGCCATCTTTATTCTTTTAATGTACTGTGTTGCATTGATTCAATCTCTTATATTGAATCACCCTTACATTTCTGGCATAAATCCTAATTAGTCATAGTGTACAATACTTTCAATATTGTGTTGGATTTGGTTTGCTCATATTTTGTTTTATAAGGAATATTGGTGAATAATTTTTCTTGTGGTGTCTCTTTGACTTTTGTGTCATTGAAATACTAGCCTCATAGAATGATTTAGGAAATATTCATTTCTCTAATACTTTTTGGAAGAGTTTGAGAATAAATAATGATAATTAGTTTTTAAATGTTTCATATAATTCACTAGTGGAACCATCTGCCCTTTGGCTTTTCCTTGTTGGCAGGATTTTTTATTACTGATTCAATCTTATTACTTGTTACAGGTATCTGGAGATTTTCTTTCTGTATCAATGTGGGCAATTTGTGTTTCTTTTTTTTCTTCTTCTTTACCTCTGTTTGAAACAAGCTGGTATGTTAGATAACAGACTAGAACACCATATGGCCAGCTTCAGTATTACTTTTCCTCCTTTTACAACCACCAAGATCTGATAGGAAAGGGAACCAGAGGGTGCAATTTGTGTTTCTATAAAATATGTACATTTTATCTAGGTTTTAAAATTTATTGGCATTCAATTATTCACTGTATTCTCTTATAATTATTTTTATTTCTCTAAGGTTGTTAATAATGTACCCACTTTCATCTTTTTGTTTTAGTTGTTTCTTTGTTTTCTTTGTCAGTTTACCTAAGAGTTGTCAGTTTTGCTATTTAAAAAAAACAACTTTTGCTTTCCCTGATTACTTATTTTGTTTTTCTGTTTTCTTCTACACTTTTGATCTATTTCAGTCTTTATGATTTTCTTCTTTCTGCTGGCTTTGGGTTGTTTGCTTTTTTCTAGTTATGTGGGGCATGCCATTAGGTTATTGATTTGAGGTTTTCTTCTGTTTTATATAGGTGTCTACGCCTATAAATGTACGTTTGAGTACTGCTTTTGTTACTTCTTTTTTTTAGTTTTTTTAGTTGTTGATGGACCTTTTAATTAATCAATTAATCTTTTTATTTATATGCAGTGCTGAGAATCAAACCCAGTGCCTCATGTGTGCTAGGTAAGTGCTCGACTACTGAACTACAACCCCAGCCCTCCCGTTCGTTTTTGTATGTCATATTTTCCATATTATTTGTCTATAAATGTTCTCTAATTTCTCCTTTTACTCATTGGTTGTTTAATAATGTGTGGATAATTTCCACCCTTCTGAGAATTTTCTAGTTTTCTTTCTTTATGTTATTGATTTCTAGTTTTATTCCATTGTGGTTGCAGAAGGTACTTTATATGGTTGCAATCATTTTAGATTTATTAAAACTTGTTTTGTCACTTAACATATGTCTATACTGGAAAATATTCCAAACTCACAGGAGTTGAGTGGGGCTCTAGATATGCCTATCCATTAGGCCTAGTTGGTTTACAATATTCAACTTACTTTCTTCCTTACTGATCTTCCATATAGATGCTCTGTTATTGATGTGGGAATTTGAAGCCTCCAACTATTATTATAAAACTATTTTCCCTTCAATCATGTCAATAAGCATTACTTGTGATTTTTTACTGTGTTGTTTGCTATATATGTGTGTATTTATATCTATATTCCTTTCTATATAACTTTTTTAGTGAATTATAGTTCTACATAATAGTGGGGTTAATAATTTTTATTTATTCATAAATGCATATCAGATGGTTTTCTCTATTTCAATCTCCGCTACCCCTTCCCTCCTCTCCTCCCTCCCCTGATACTATTCCTCTATTCAACTGGTCTTCCTCAATTTTTTTTGTGGGGGGTACCTGGGATTGAACTCAGGAAAACTAAGCCACATCCCCAGCCCTATTTTCTATTTTACTTAGAGACAGGGTCTCACTGAGTTGCTTAGCGACTTGCTTTTGCTGAGGACTTTGATTCTCCTGCCTCAGCCTCCACTTGCCAGGGACAAAATCTACAACCTTAGTGGCACACTCCCAGGGACCTACCTACTCCAACCACACTCTACCTGCCTATAGTTACCATGCAGTTAATCCCTATCAGTGGAATAATGCACTGATTAGGTTAAGGATCTCATAACCAATCATCATTTCATCTCTAAACTTTTTTTTGCATTGTCTCATATTTGAGATTTTGGGGGACACCTCCATAACAACCAATGTATAATATCCTTTGTCGCTTGTGACTTTTTCAGAAAATCTATTGTCCCAATATCTGTCTTTTGATTACCTTGGTATTCATTACATACTTGCACAGAATCCCCAGATTTAGCCCTGGTGGAATCCTAGGGTACTCTAAGGTGTTTTCTGAGCATTTGTCTTGGTTGTAGTATGCACATTGCATTCCATTTTCCTCAGTGGACTTGGTGGCCCTTTCAATCCCTTATATACCCAAGAAACTTTCTCCTTAGCACTTTCTCCTGAGCTTTCTAGGAGAAAATCTCCTTAGGATTTTGGGTCCATCTCCTGTTTGTCTCATCTATTGTCCCTCTCCTGCTGCAAGTGTACAAAGGCATTGTGTATCAGTAAAACCTCTCAGTGCATACCCTCCAACCTGGAAAGTAACAACAGCCTGGAGGGAAGGGAATAAGTCAACCTTTGAGCTGTGCTCCCAGTAAATCACCAGATAGGTGAAAATACATAGCAATAGCATTTAAAAATAAGGATTGTATTAATCTCTCAGCACCAGAAAGCCATAAAAAGAACTCAAATGGCACTTCCAAGGTTGGAAACAGAGAATGTTAAGTTAATGGGGAAAAATTGTTTTTAATATTTATTTTTTAGTTGTACACAATACCTTTATTTCATTTATTTATTTTTATGTGGTGCTGAGGATTGAACCCAGGGCCTTGCAGGTGCTAAGTCAGCCCTCTACCACTGAGCTAAAACCCCAGCCCTGGTGGGAAAATTTTTCACAATGTTCTGTTACTGAAATTCAACTGACCCTTTCTTCTTAAGGGTTCCAAAAACTATTGATTCTGTCTTCAACAGTTTATGACTGTTTCAACGTAGGAAGTGATTTTATTCAAGCTTCTTCCACCATCATTTGCTGTGATATCACTCTAGTGCATGTTTATATTTTTAAGACATCTTAATTTAGATTAAATTTCCTACAATTTATATTTTTCTTTCTTTATACTTTTTAAAGAACATTTTAAGTCACTTAACTGCTATTTATTTTCATAAACATGAGGTATTTCAAAGTTCTAAATATACTGTGTTTTTGAAGAAATTAAACACAGAACTTTGCATTTACCCAGTTCTATGCACCAAACATGAACAAATGAAGAAACAGACTAAGAAAAGGCATATCTATAGCAAATTTCTTTATAAAATTTCTTAGTTCAAAAGTGATAAAGTAATATCTACTCAAAACTTTCATAACTCGTTTCCATATGAAAATATAAGTATCAAATTTAGTTATGTATCAGCATCATACTAAAGTATACAGTGTAATTAGTACAGTACATAACAGATTAACGATATATTTGTATGCAAAACATGCTCCTCAAACATTGAGGTATTATTATGGTACTTAGGTGTGAACTTCCAGTCTAATACTGGCTGCAAAAGCCACCTCTCATTACCCAGAACATATACAAAAGGCAGGTGTGTCAATGGTATTTACAGAAATGTTCCCCATCGGCATCAAATGGCAACCCTCTTACCTGACATCTGCTGGAACCTAAGCACAATTGTAAAAAGAAGGAATGACTCTGTTGTTTGAAAACTTGGAACGAACAAGGAGCCCCAGAGGCTCCCAACTGTCACGAACTTCTACTGCTGTCACTGTCACAGCAAAGCTACCCAGAACCCCATCACATGGGCTCTCCAAGGTCCTGGTAGAACCCCACACGTCCTGCCCCCCACCCAGACCCAAACGTCAGGGGACTGATTTGAGAGTAAATCAATATTCATTAACACAATGTTTTAAAAAAAAATCAAACTGTGCAAAAGTGGCAGTGACTGTTCATTTAAGAAAGGTTTAGAAAGTCCAAGCAAGTTCAATTATCTTTAGCAACTGCTGCTGTCTTGCCTGCAATTTCTCCTTTTCCATCAGAAGCTGGTGCTCCTTGGCCTGGAGGTAGTGGACATACTCACAGGCTTTTTTCAAAATGACCACCTTGGCAGCCTTCTCATTCTTCACCAGCTCTGGCACGTGGTCCCGGAGCGTGGTGAAGCTGGACCGCAGGTCATTGCGGCGCTGGCGCTCCAGGATGTTGTGATTGCGGCGACGCACGCTGTCCTCGGAGTCGGATTTCCGAGGGCTGAAGCTCTTACCCTTTGGGTGGATGACGCTCTTGAGGGGATGTGGGGACACCTCCCTCTTGATCTTCTTCTGGGGTGGAGCATCCTCGCTCTCCACATAGGGCGAGGGCGCAGCATAGTTGTGCTGCTGGTAGATGGGGACACTGCGTTGGAGGATCAGCTCACGGGACTGCTCTCTCCCCAGGCCCAGGGCTGTGTTCTTGGGACTCACCGTGAGGGTGAACGTGGTGCCGCCTGTCTTACAGCTTTTCTCCACGGTGACCACATCGATCTCCTCTTCTTCATCTTCCTCCTCGTCAACCTCGTCGCTCAGGGCGTCTTCTCCCGAGGTGCTGAGGACCTTGTGGTCACCGCCGTTGGGAGGGCGGCTGCTTAAACCCGGAGGGGCGGCCACCGCGGCAGTAGCGGGGGCGGCTGCTCTAGCAACCGCAGCGCCCACGGCAGAGGCACGGGCAGGGGCACGAGCCGGGGCGACCCGCACAGGCACCGGATTCCGCTTGCTCACCGGCAAGAGAAAGACTACCGCGGGATCTACGCACTCGGCGGCCGGGTGGGCGAGCTCCGCCGGTAAGGCGGCTCCGGCCGTCCCGCTGTGCCCGCGGCCCGCAGGGCTGGCAGCTCCCGCTCCCGGGACCTGAGTGGCCGGACCCGTGGCCGCGGGCTCGTGGCCATGCTGCATCTTCTCACTCATCGCACGCTCCAGCTTTTCGCGAGCGGAGAAGCCGCTCCACATGCAGTCCCGGAGGATGACTGGGTTGGGGGTGAGGCTGCCCAGTCCCCCCGGGCCGAACACGTCCTCCTCGTCGGGGTTGCCCCACAGGTCGGCCTCGGTCAGCATCATTTCGCTGGCCCAGTCAGAGGGCTCCGTACTGAGCTCCAGGAACGCACAGCTGGGCGACAGCGGGGGCGTAGGCAGCAGTTCAAACTTCTTCCAGATGTCCTCCCCAGGAGGGGTCGAGTTGGGGCCGCTGAAGTAGAAGTCATCTTCGTCAGGGTAGAAGCAGGGCTGCAGCCAGTCAAACTCGAGATCTGCGTTCCTGCAAATCATCCTCGGCATGGTGGACACGGTGCAGCTCCGCATCAGCTCGCCTGCCCGCCAGCGACTGAGAGAGCTTCTTTCCGCTCAGCTCTTTTTAATACCGGGGGGTGCTTCCTTTCCCTAGGGTGTGCGGAGGGCGGGGGCAATAGCCAATCTCCAACACTCCAGGCGACTGCTGGGAATCCGGAGACGATTCTGCGCTGGGGTCTCCGGGTGGTCTGTGGGGGCGGGGAGGGGTCCTGGGGCGGCTGCACTCTGTGAGCGCTTGCGCCTAGCTAGCTCTCGTTCGGCTCCAACCCAGTTCCCAGGAGACCCCCGCATCCACTCAGCGCGTCCAGATAGATGACTGTACTTTAGAAAAAAATTTGCGCTTATAAAAATTTCAAAAATAAAAATTATTCTTTATTTACTGTTGTAGGCATTTTATCCCATTTGCTTTGACATTTGCACCCCCACTTTCTTTTTCTTATTTTTTCTTTGAAAAATTTTAATTTGATTTTAATAATAATTTTTATTTATTGTGTTTGTGGTGCTGGGGACTGAACTCAGGGCTTTGTGCGTGGTAGGCAAGCGCTCTACCACTGAGCTACATCCCTAGACCTCCTTCTCTTTTAGAATATGTTTTTAATGGACACAATACCTTTATTTATTTATTTATTTTTTATGTGGTGTTGATGCTCGAACCCAGTGCCTCACCCGTGCTGGGCAAAAATCTACACCAAAATCTCCCTTTTTCCTTTACCACTGCACTACAACTGCAGCCCTAAAAACTAATTTTTGACTGGTAAAGAAAAACATGAAATTACACATATTAATGAGGTATGATGTTTTGAAACATGTATACATTGTGTAATGTTCAAATCAGGTTAAACACATCTATCTCCTGAAACATTTATCATTTCTTTATGGTGAACACATTAAAAATTATTATTTTTTGAAGTGGACAGTACATTATTGTTAGCTATAATCATCCTACTGCAACAGCACACCAAAACTTCTTGCTTCTATCTAACTGTAACTTAGTATTCATTCATCAACCTTTTCCATCTCTTCCTAACCCCTGCTGTCCCCATTAACCATCACCTACTCTCAAGGTCTATGAGATCAACTTTTTTAGATTTTGCCTGAATGATGTAATGCAACGTTAATTTGCTTAAGACTCAAACCCAGAAGTGTCTAAGCTTTTACAAAATTCTGAGACAAGCATTTTCTTGTGAGCGTCATGGTTTCTTTGAAAGATGTCCCTGAAAAACATGTCTGGACCACCCTTCAGAGGCAAAATGTCCCACAGCCCACTGATGGTCTCTTGGGTGTACTATTAAGGAGTGAGAACAGTAAATGCTGAAATTGTTAACCAGACTCAGATTTGTAGGTTTATTTGTGCTGCTCCTGCTGGTTATTAATTAAATCACCTCATTAGGTCAGGTATAACACAATTGGCATTTGTTGTTGTTGTTGTTGTTATTGGCATCTTAACTGAGAAATTTCCAGGCACAGGAAAAAAAAAAAAAAAATCACTCATGAGAAAACAAAACCTGATCCAAAAGGAGTGTAAAAATGATAATTGGGCGCCCTCTTCTGGATTATCTGTGCAAGGGCTTTCCCAAAGAAATCTCCAGGTCTGCTTAATAATGGGACTTTAAAGAAAGATTGAGTTCCCACTAAGGAACTCAGGGCCAGAAGTACCAGGCCATGGGGAACTCAATAAGTCGTTCAGCTAGGGTCTGCATGGTGATAGCCTTCCACCTCCTGGTGAATTTTTATATAAACTGGAGAGCCAAACAACTATTTCTCACACCATTTGGATTTCAAATATAAACATGATTAGGGACTACACCAAAATCTCCCTTTTTCCATAGGGCCTAGAGGCCCTGTCCCAAGGTTAGAGGTAAGTGGTAAAATGGACAAGAATTGCATATCTTGGGCCTTTTACAAACCAGTACACAAATGACCATGGTCCTCACAATACCTGGCATCATGACAAGGGGATAACAGATAATATTCTCTGATTTTGTGTCCCTACTAACTTTATTATTATGGCTCCAACTACTGAATGATATGTTAGCATTTATGTGTTGTTTATGTGTACCCTCAATTACTTTTGCCCCCAAGCCCTGATAGGAATTATAATCATTATGGCCAGCTTAGTGGGAGCACATAGAAGACTATAAACCAGTGGGATGAATAACACCTATTGTCTCCGAAAAACAAGGTTAGCTTACTGGTGGAAAAAAGAAATTGGGGGCTGGGGCTGTAGCTCAGCAGTAGATTGCTTGCCTAGTAGATTGCTTGCGAGGCGCTGGGTTCGATCCTCAGCACCACATAAAAAGAAAGAAAGAAAATAAAGGTATTGTGTCCAACTACAACTAAAACATTATTTAAAAAAAAATAACTGCCCTTGCTGCTGAGCTTCAGGGAGCCAAAGTGCTCCATGAGACTAATTCTCCATTCCAGAGCCCCATTTGGCGCATGCATAAGACCTGGTGCTTGTCGACTTACCATTAATTATAGACAGCTCAGTGAATATTGCCACTTTTAGCACCAATAGTATCAGACCTTGGAGCTGTTACAGAGGTTATTGTCCAAGCTGAGGAAACTTAGTATGTAGCAATCAATGTTACAAATGATGAGGATCCCTTTTCCTTTCATACTTAAAAAAAAAAAAATTTTTAGTTGTAGATGGACACAATACTTTTACTTATCATTATGTGGTGCTGAGGATCAAACCCATGGCCTCACACATGCTAGGCAAGCGCTCTACCACTGAGCCCCTTAAAATACACTTTTAAGGTCCTTCTACAAGGCTCATTTCTCTGGGTAAACAAAGATATGTTCCCAGCAAAGCTGTCTTCAGATAAGAAAGAAAAAGATTTTCACGAACAAATAAACAAAAAAGCTGAGGGATTTTCTTCATAAGAAATGCTAAAGGGAATTCTTCAAACTGAAAGAAAAGTCCAGTAATATGTAACAAGAAATAGCTGAAGGCATAAAAGGCACTAGTAAAATTATGCAGATTTATATACATTAATACAGTGATTATGGTATATAATTCATTTATATCCACAATATGAAAGCTAAAAATAGAAACATTTAAAAAACAACAAAAACAACAGGCCTAGGGGCTGGGGATATAGCTCAGTTGGTAGAGTGCTTGCCTAGGCCCTGGGTTCAATCCAAGCATCACAAAAAAGCAACAACAAGGGGCTGAGATTGTGGCTCAGCGGTAGAGAGCTCTCGCCTAGCACCAGCGCGACCCGGATTGATTCTCAGCACCACATAAAAATAAAGACTTTGTGTTGTGTCCAGCTACAAAAAAGATTCTCTCTCTCAAAAAAAAAAAAAAAAAAAAAGGCAACAACAACAGGCCGTTTGCATGCAGATCACTCTCCACCCATTTGCCCACTTTTAGCCTGTACATCACCTGATGTTCACCTGCCAAGCACCCCCCCCCCCCCCCCCCCCCCGCAAACACCCCTCCCCCTATTTGCCGGCAGACCACCCATAGAGTGCCTGCAGAATGCCTGCTGCCCTTGCTGCCTCAAAGTCCATTGTCAGGGAACCCGCCATCTTGGGACATTGGCCAGGCCCTGGGAGTCCAGGGCCAAGGGGACTGCACATTTGCTGCTGCCACGACCACCATCTTGGAGCATGGCTGTCTTAGTCTGGGGACACCAGCCAGGGCCTGGAGATATATTGTTGGGGTACTTGCAGGTCTGGTTGCACCAGAGGTCTTCCTTCTGGGTGTGCTAGTGGCCACCATCTGGCTGCCTCTTTGCAGGGTCACTCCTTTGTGTGAGCACATCCCTGGTGGTCTTTCTGTAAGATAGAACAGCATTGACATCTTGGGACTGCAGCAAGACAGAACCCGGGGAATCTGAAGCCCAGCTTCGTCAGATTGCAGCTGGGTCTGGCAAGCCTGTGGAAAGCCAGAGACTGGGGACAACTCCCCAGGGGGAACACAAGTTGGAGAAACTGAAGAAGGGCTCAGTGAGCCCTGAAGTGCATGGGGATGGAAGGGGCCAGCTACAATGGGTGGGAAGACTGGAAGAGGGTGTGAAAGCATTTTGCTATCCACTCGCTCACCCAACAGGTCAAGCACCTACAGGATTGGGGAGCTACGACCAAATTTCATACAACCCCCACCTACCAGCAGAAAGGGGAACCTAAGAAAATTTTTGGAAGCCAGCAGAAGCAATCAGTCAATTTTCCACTGAGACTTTCCTTCCCCGCCCCTCTCATCTCTACCATCTTTGAATCCAAATATTTTTCATGCATCAATTAATTGAGGTGTGAGATATTTGAATAGTATATTACAGTTTGATTGTGTATTCTTATATTTTTACTTTTTAAATTCTTTTATTTTTATTTTAAAACTCTGTATATATTTTTTCTATCAATTATCTGTCTTTCTTACCTCTCTGAATTCTTTCTTACCTCTCTCATGCTAACAGCCAACCTCTATTAATTCCTCCTTTGCTCTTGCTATAAATTTTTACCCCTATCTTCTCTCCTTCTCCCCCATAAGCATCACATCCTACACTACTTCAGTTTCCTCTTTGTCCACTATTTGAAATGGTAACCCTTTTAGCAAACTTACCATTTATATTGTAGACAATAATTGAACACATCATTTCTCTTTATTGTGACAAAACTGTAGATGCCTTCATAGGAGCTATTTGATTTAAGGTTGTATATGCAAACATTGGGTCCTGTTAATATTGGTTTCCCTCTTAAAGGTGAGACACTGGAAGCCTTCAGGGACACGATAAGACTACAGAGTAGAAACTGTACTGCCTCAGATCCATACTGCTAGATGGGAAGATGTACAAACTACATGAAAAAAACAAGGGAACAAAGTTCCTCAAACAAACCAAGATGTTCCAACAATAGAATCTGTAGGCAACACAGTAGAAGAAATGTCAGAGAAAGAGTTTAAAATGTATATAGTTCAACTGATCTGTGAAGTAAAAGATAGTATAAGGAGTGAAATCCAAAAGAAAATGGAGAAGCAAAAGATCACTTCAATAAAGAGTTAAAGATTG